CCTTTTTCACCTGTGCTGCCAGGAGGTGTGAGCTCAGTTTCACGCCAAATTTTAGCAATTATTTATTGCCTCTCTTTCTGGTTTAATTATCTGCCCCTTCTTCCATTTCATGTTTGTTCTTTTAATGAAATGGCTTTTCTGTTGCTGTGTTGTCTCCTATGAGAAAGCAAGGGCTAGTATGTTCCATGGGAATAATGGTTACCCTGTTGAGCAGATGAGCTCTTTCCCTGTATGCAGCCATGGGAAAGGGTGATTTTCAAAATGGCAACCATGACTCACTCACACACAGAGAGCCTGAACATTTGTCACAGGTTTTATGTAGTTCATGGGGACAGCTAGCTCAAAGGGACCAACGAACAGACATATAGGCAATCACTGGGTGCTGAAGTGAATTTACTAACAGGTGCAAAACAGGTCAGTATCCACGGGGCGGGAAAATGTGCTGTTTGGAACCATCTCCTGGGGCAGGGGTGACATCAGTTGCACCTCCACAGGACAGCATTCATTTGCAACTTTAATGGCTGAGAATTGTTTGATTACTATCAGTTTTTTATAACTTGCAGAGTTGTAAAGTAATCCAGTCAAAGACAGTGAACGGTGGAGACCCCTGTAGAATCAGGTGACCCTGGCCAGGAGAGAGCCGGCACTCCACTGAAAGAACACCTAGCCGTCTTTTTGCTGACTGCAGTCTTCCAGTTTTTCCTGACAGCAAGGTAGTGAGCAAAGGAGTGAGTCCTCATTTAGGACACTGGAACTGAGAAAGAGGATCTTCGGTAGAGGAGAAAGGAGATGGCCTGTTATCGGCTCCTCAGTCTCTGTCCCGAGTCTGGCCTTGAAGGAGTCTTCATGGCCACGAGCACCTTCCCGGGGAGGGGAGGGAAAGACGCCTTTGTCTTGAAGAAGCAGGATGGGAGCTAGGAAAGACTCCTTCTTTGTTTGACAAGCTGAAGAATGAGTGGATCTTATCCTGTAAAGCAGATTGTTTATTTTCATGTCATTCGCTTTACCTATTTATTTTTTATCTTTTTGTTAACGCTTATTTTTAGCAGAGTCTTTTTTGTAGTGTCTTTCAGGCTGGCCTCAGATGAGTGGTAGGTGACATTAAGAGCCCTGTGTTTACTCTCAGTCATGGAACTGAGTGGGACGCAGTGCCTCCAGAGGCCCCTGGAGTGGTGATGATAATTCATGAGAGCCCTCCCCCACCCTGGGGAATGCACCTCATCTCTCCTCAGCTGGAAGTCTCACAGTGCCTACCTCGGAGAACAGGAGCCTCTTGGTTAGTTTAGTAAAGTGCTTTTTCTCTTATTATTTTTTATTGTAAGCTTTTTAAAGCTTGTCGCACTTGATGAGTTTAAGTAATTAGTTAATGGAGAAATATTATTTGCATTAATTTGAATCAGTCTGTTCGTAATTCTGTATCATTGCAGTTTGAGGTCTTTCTCATATTATCAATTAATTTAAGTATAGATTTATGAACATTTGCTGATTCAGTGGCCTTGACATTTGTTAGTTATTGTAAGTTCTGAGAAATAAGCTGGATTGAAGAGTGCTGAGTCAGGATTCAGAAACATAATTGATGGATACCTTGTGTTAGAAACCTGGGTCTGATTTCTCTGATTCTCGTCTGCATAGTAGGTGACACTTAACATACAGAAAGGCCCAGCACTTGAAAAAATACATGTAGATGAGACAGGTAAACTGATATAATGACCTTTGTGTCCCAGGTATAGAAACTTACACTGCGGGATTAGGCAGAGAATGAGTGTCAGTCTGCCTGTTATGAGGCACTGTTTTCAGTGGACAGACTGCACAGATTTAGGCTCTGGTTCCAGCTCTGCGACTGTAGTGTGAACATGAGAAAAAGTTCATCTCTGCAGTCTTCATCTGTAAAATACAGTTTGAGCTAAGGTTTACTGAGTCGTTGTTATGTTATAGGAAGATGTGGTCCGTACCCTCAAAGAGCTGAAGACACACCTGTCAGTAAATAAGTACAGCTGAACATTATGGGTGCTGTGAATGACTTCATAGAGGAAATGAGGCTGACACTGATTCTTCCAAGGAGAGCTCTCATCTCCAGGCAGAACCCGGCTGAGGGGCAGGGGAAGGGCGAAAGAAGAGAAGTGATTCAGGGGAGGGTGTCAGTAAGAGGACCGAGCACAGAGGCATCGACGAGACGCCTGGACTGAGTGTCTGAGCCCGTGCCAGGAGAAATGGAGAAGTAGGTGGCAAGCACATCTTGAAGAGTCTGGTTTTTAATGCTTAAATAAAGAAGTTTGACTACAAGGTCTCTAATGTTCTCTCTAGCTTAGATTCTGACCTAAGATATTGTCAGTGGGTGTAAGGAGTTAACATGTTCTGGTTAATCTGAGTGGGTGTTGCATTCAGTTAGTGACAGCCGAGTAACTAGACTGACCACGACTGCCAGTCCCCGTGTGACTTGCAGCTTTTGTAACCACTGAAGGGTGGGAACAGAGTGCAGAGTTCTTTGCCAGAATCTCTCTCCTGCTACTCATCCTTCATATTACTGTCGACATTTTTTCTTTACTTCCTTTTTTTTTTAATTGTGGAAAATTCAAACGTATAAAAAATAAACAGACTAGTATAATGAACTTCCATTACCCAGCTTCAACAATTATCAACATTCTTGCTTTATTTATTCCTCTACTCACGACCCACCCCTCATTCAATAATTATTATTATTGTCATTATTATTTTTACTATTTAGGTATTGTTTACTTACCTTGAAATGTACAAATCTTAGATATAGGTTTTTGACAAACATCCCATCACAATACAAAACGGTTGCATCTTCCTCCAAAATTCCCTTTTATCCCTTCCTAGCCTCTCCCTACCCCCACCCTACCTCCAGCTGAAACAACAAAATACAACATTGCCCTCATTTTTGTTTTTGTTGATTAGATTTGCCTGTTCAAGGACTTATGTGGTGGAAGCCCCCGTATGTTCTCGTTTCTGGCCTCTCTTGCTCGGCTTGTTAGCTGTGAGATTTGTCCGTGCTGTTGAGCCTTGTCGTTCCCTCCCTTGTATTGCTTAGCAGCATTCTGTTGTATGAATTTACTGCAATTTGTTACCCATTCTTTTGTCAAGTGACATTTTAATTTTTCCACTTGTGCTGTGAATGAAGTTGCTGTGAACATTCTTGTATGCATTGTTTCATAAAGATGTTTTTGTTTCTTTTGGATAAACTCCTAGGAGTGGAATTACTGGGTCTAGAGATAGGTACATGTTTAACTTTATGAGAAATGGCCTGACAGTTTTCCAGAGTGGTTGTACCAGCCATGTATGAGTTACAGCGCTCTGTATCCCTGTCAGCACTTGGCATTGTCTGTCTTTAATTTAGCCATTCTTGTGGGAATGTGGTGGTATCTCAGCATGGTTTTTATTTGCATTTCCCTGGTGCCTAATAATGTTGAACATTTGTGCAAGTGCTTATTGGTCATTCGTATATCTTTTTTTGGTCTGATAAAGTCTTTTGCCCATTTCTAATTGGGTTGTTTTTTCATTATTGAGTTATAGTAGTTCTTTATACATTCTGGATACAAGTTCTTTGTCAGATGTATGTTTTGTGAATATTTTCTCCCACTCTGGCTTGCCTTTTAGTTTTCTTAACAATGTCTTTTGATGAGCAAAAGTTTTATATTTGAGTCTAAGTTGTCAACTTTTTATGGTTATTGCTTTCTGTGTCCTCTCTAAGAAATCTTTACTTACCTTCCAATTGAGAATATATTCTCCTGTGTTTTCTTCTAAGAGCTTTAGTCTTTCAGCTTTTATATTTAGATCTGTGGTCTATCTCAAATGCATTTTTGTTTATGGTGTGAAGTTGGAGTTGAGGTTCATTTTTTTTCCATACAGATATCCAGTTCTAGCACCATTTCTTGAAAGGACTTTCCTTTCCCTATTGAATTGTTTTGCTACCTTTGTTGAAAACCAGTGGTCCCAGTGTGGGGTCTGTTCCTGAGCTCTGTTCAGTTCCTTGGTCTCCTTGTGTACCTTACCCCAGCACTGCACTGTCTTGATGATGTAGTTTTATGGGGAGTCTTGAAGTCAGGCATGTAAGCAGTACGACTTGGTTGTTCTTTGTCAAGATTCTTTTGGCTATTCTAGGTCCTCTGCATTCCCATGTAAATTTTAGAAATCACCTTGTTCATTTTTATTAAAAAGCCTGCTGGGATTATGAATTATCTATAAATTACTTTGGAGGAGAATTAACTTCTTAACAGTATTAAACCCATGAACATGGTACACATCCCCATTTATTTAGGCCTTTAATTTCTCTCAGCAATGATTTTGAGCTTTTAGTATGGATGTTTTCCATGTCTTTTGTTAAGTTTGTTACTAAGTATTTTGTTATTTGATGCTGTTGTAAATGTATCTTTTAAATTTTTATTTTTTAAATTTTTTCCTACTAGCATATAGACATAAAATTGGTTTTATATATTAATCTTATACCCTGAGACACGACTACCCTGACTGAGTTTTTAGCACACAGTTCCTGAGCACCATGGACTGTCTTCCCTTCATGTTTTTATAGGCTTTTTAGACTTGAACGTCCTTGTCTTCCAAGTGGCCCTGAGGAGGGCCATTGTGACGGCCGCGGCACTCGTGGAGCCTCCTGACAGTGCCCCACTGGGTTCAGATGGCCTCCTCTGTGTGTCTCTGTCAGGGAACTTCCCACGTTGGTCTTGAGTCAGCCCTTCTTGGAGCGCGAGGAGTGTGGCTTCTCAACAATTAATAACTATGGGCGTTATGTTGCTCTGGGGCGGGGTGGGGCTGGGGGAAGTCCTTCAGTCAGTTGGAAACAATCCCTGACTTATATCTTAGAAAGGGAAAACAGGCCTCTTATCAAAAATGTATCCCTGTGTTCTTCCTATTTAAAGGTGCATTTACTAGTGGATGATCTCTCACAATCTAAATGACTTAAGCTTTTGCTGCTGATGTTGAATGTTTGTAGATTATGTGTCTTATTCCTTTTTGTTTTCCAGGTGGCTGACTGTGCTTGGGATGAGACGATAAAGATCTATGATCCCGTTTGTCTCGCCATGCCTGCTTGAGGCACCCCACTCCGGTCAGAGACAGCAGAAGAACACCGAAGAACCACTTAACAGGAAATCAATTAACTATTGATAACATAGACATTAGGTTATCTTCAGATTTCAAATTTTAAAAATTTACCCTGGAATCAATTTTGAGGCAGCTGATAAAGGTGTTGGCTCACTATTTAAGCCTAGTTCGTAAGCCATATCTCTTAAAACCCTAAGGAATAATTGATGTTATGGTATATCTTGTACTATCTATTAAAATGTAACCTCTGTATTGTAAAATGGATTAAAAAATGGGAGATCCATAGACTCTATTGATAGTGATACATTTAATTTTTAATTTGTCATTTTTGATATAAAATATAATCATTGCTGTTGATAAAAATCAAAATAAACTGCATCTCTTGATCATTTATGACTGTATGACATCCCCAGCGAGACTGCTTTTTCTCTGTAGTGCATATGTGAATATAACACTGTATATGACATAGATATGTATCTGTGGTGCAGTAACAGGCACTGAGACAGAGCTCACTTACTCAGCAGCTGTTCACTGAGCATCTGCTCTGCCTGACGTACACACTGACTGAGGCTCTCCAGGGTGGTCCCGTGCTCCGAGAACGTGGAATGCTGTGAGTTAAGAGCTTCCATGGTTTTTACATTTATTCAAATCTTTTTAGATATTGTACTCGTGACCCTATATTTCTCTCTGCCTACTTCCCCACTATCAAATTTTTAAAAAATTAGTTACTGGGCAAAAAGTCTTAGATCGTGCTTAGGTTTCAAGCAATTGCCCTTGAAACTAGCCCTAAGTAATGCTGTAAACCCTCCTTGCTACCTCCGTAAGTCTCCTCAGAAAATCTCCAGGGCTGATGATCTGTAAAAAAGTAGGGTAAAAGGGAAAAATTAGTAAAACAACTTTTCACAATATGTATATTTTTATATATTAGTAAAATAAAATGTGTTATAAAAATGGCAAAAATTGTCATTAAATTTTTAACAAGTTTTTTGAGAATTTTTAAAGAGCAAAATATACTTTTTTGTAGTAATCAGAAGAAAAATAAAATACATGTTTATTGTCTTATTTACATATTTCTTTGTTTACTTTTTCCAGAAAAAAATTAAGACAGCTTACAAAATACAGAAACATGACAGCATAAAAGGTAGGACAGAAGGAGACAGAAATGGAACCAAGAGGGGGCCTGAAAATATAGGCCTCAGAGGCCTAGAAGGTTGCTCCTGGCAGCAGAAAAGGGAGCCTGGTCAGAACACAATTCAGTGGCCAAGACCTCGTCCCAGTCCCAGGCATGGCCGTCGCACCATGCTGGCGATAGAAGGTGCTCCGTAGATGTTGCTGAAATGTTGAATGGTCTCGGGGAAGCACAGCTCTTTGGTTCTTAGACCAGTCAATACTAATTATTCTTGAGAGGCCCCGTGAAGAGGACACAGCCTGACACGAGCGTGTTGTAAGGAAAGGTGCTCCAGCACATTCCAGAGCCGGCACTGGGATGCTGTCCTAGCACTGTTCTCGTTGCTTCTCTCCAGAACCTCTGGCACCACTCCAAGTGTGGCTCAGTAAGAGGGTTTACAGGGTGTTCTCTGTATCATAGAACTTAGAAAATACCTAACCCAGATCATATTTACAATGAAATGAAATTACTTATTTATTTTCCTTTTATTTTTTTTATTTATTTATTTTTTTTAAAGATTTTATTTATTTATTTTTCCCCCAAAGCCCCAGTACATAGTTGTCTGTCATAGCTGCACATCCTTCTAGTTGCTGTATGTGGGACGCGGCCTCAGCATGGCTGGAGGAGAGGTGCCTTGGTGCGCACCCGGGATCCGAACCCGGGCCGCCGGCAGCGGAGAGCACGCACTTAACCGCTAAGCCACGGGGCCGGCCCCTTATTTTCCTTTTAGAATGCAAGAGATTTTATTAAAATAATCTACCATGTATCTTTTGAAACAGATACTTGTGATTTAAAAACTAACGCCTCTCAATTATTTCCTCCCTCTATTTCGGGGATGCTATAGATGATTAGAACACTAACCTCAGGTTCTTGGAGTCTCTCAGTATGAAGGAGTGTGGGTGAACCTTTATCCAGTGGGCTCCCTGGAGCTGGGATTGGAAAACTGGAAGGAAGGGAGCTAGAGTCTCTCCAGAACGAGAATGTGCAAGAGTTTTGAATTCTTGGTAGTTCACAAGCCAGGCAACCTCTGGGTTTTAAGAGGATGACCAGACAATCCCTCCAGGTTGGGAAGATTCACGTTTGTCTCCAGGCCATGGAGCTCTTAGCTTCCACCTGCCTGCCTGCCCAGGTCCCTCCTGCACCTTCAGTGACGCACAGCACTGAACAATGAATGCAGGGCATCCAGGGCCGCGAGCATCCTCTATGATCAGGGCATGAGGTGAGAGGCTTTCTCTGTGTCACCCTTTGAATCTTATAACGTCCCTGCAAGGAGGCCCTCCCAGTTTTCCAGATGAGGAAACAAAGGCTCCCAGGAGTCCTAATAGCCAGGAAGTATGGAGCTGGAATTGGAAACCTGCTATGACTGGATCCAAACCCATGGCCCTGCCACATGGCCTCCTTTTCCTGGAAACAACAGAAATTGGCCCATGGAGAAACAGTAAGGATGTGGAACTCTTCTGGTGACTCGATCCTGATCATTCCTGAGGGGACTGACAACACTGAGTTTCCCAGTCCTAAGAGCTAAGCAGCTGGCTCTGGGTCTGGAGGGACCCTACCAAGACCCGTCACCTGGGAGGTCCAGGCGGAGAGCCAGCTGTCCTTCCTGCCTTTGGCACTTGACTGTGTATCTTAGCTGGAATTCAGCTCTTCCCAAATGAACTCATTAATTTCTTACTTAACAGGCCTCTTCTTGAATGAGATAATCCACTTAAATGTTTTTTACTTCCATGTTTATACTGAGTACTCCCAAATCTGTCTCTCCTGCCTTCCCCACCTGGGTCTCCCCCAGCCTTTGCACACTTTTTCTTCCAGCCAAACTGCTGGTGCTCACCAAACTGACTCCCCCTGAACATGCCTCTTCATTTGTGCCCGTCCTGTCCACCCAGGCACTCAAGCGGAGACCTAAGTGCCATCCTGTTTCTTCCCTTGTTCCCGCCTCCACTCCAAAACACATCAAACAGGGCACAAAGTCGTGTCCCTCTTACCCCTGAATACTTCTCCTTTCTGTCTCTTCCCCTCAGTCTAACTACCACTGCCCTGGTCAGGCCATCATTAGCTTTTCTCTGGGAGATCACACAGCTTCCTAAATGATGTGTCTGTTTCTAGGTCTGTGCCCTCAGAGCCACCGTCCTCAACACAGCTGCCGGAGACTGATGGAAAATGCAATCTGATTACATCAATTTCCATGTAAAACCTTTCTCTGCTTCTAGGATTGCCTACAGGAAAAAGTTCAGGCTCACTGACCGGGCAGCCGAGGTCCTTCGGGGCTGGTCCCCTGCCTCTCTCCACATCGTCATGAACTCTCTGCCCCAGCAACACCAGCATGCTCACCAGCTCCCCATGTAAATATGCAGGTGTTCATTTCTGTCTTTGCTCAACCTTGTCCCTGTGCCTGGATTGCCCTGCTCTTGCCTTGGCAAATTCTTACCCATCATTTGGAAGTCACATGAAATGACTAAGGAGAAAGATTGACAACATACAAAAATTAAAATAGCAAAACTCATGGTTAAGAAAGTTAAAAGATGGAAGACATATTGGAAGGATGTATTTGCAACTTATGTAACAAATGGCTTAATATCCAGAATTTATGAAGACTTTTAAAAATCACTGAGAAGACAAGCAAACATGAAAGTGGACAAAGGATACCAATAGACGATTCACGGAAGAACAAATACAAGGTTTGAAGATGTCAGTCAGACTTTGTCTCATTGATGACAAAGAAACGCAAATTAAAATGAGATACCCTTTTTTTGCTTATCAGTTTGGCAAACATTTAAAGTATTGATAATATCCGATGTTAGTTAAAAGTGGGAGCACTGTAATACACCTTTTTAGAAGACAATTTGGCAATAAAGATTTTAAATTACCTGCAGGATTCTCTGCCTGCGTCCCCCACCCCAAACTCCCAAAACTTAGAGAAGTCTAGGTAAGAGCAAGTGTCCACAGGTATTCAGTGCATCACTGGTAAAACCTAGCTGCCTGTCTACAGAAGAAAGGTTCTACTAACCAAGAGTCACTTAAAAGACTAGGTAGGACTGTGTGTCCTGACATGGAAAAATACATTGCTATTGATATGTGTATCAGTTATCTATTTCTGTGTAACAAATCACCCCAAAACTTAGCAGCTTACAACAACAAACATTTATTTATCTTACAGTCTGGAGGTCAGGATTCAGGAGGGGCTTCGCTGGTTGTTCTGGCTCAGGTGCTCCCATCACATTGCAGTCAAGCTGTCCCCTGGGTCTGCGGACTTCTGAAGCTCAGCTGGGGCTGAAGGATCAACTTGCAGAGTCACCCACATGGTTGTTAGCAGGCCTCCAGGACTCACAGGTGGGACCCTCCATAGGCTGGCTGTGTCCCCACAACATGGCATCTGGCTTCCTCCAGACTGAGACAAGAGAAAGAGAAGATTCACGATGGAAGCCTCAGTCTTTTATAACCTAATCTCAGGAGTAGCTCCCTCACTTCTGTTCTGTGCTTCACACAGACCAATTCTGGTACAGTGTGGGAGGGTTAACCAGGGGTGTGGGAGGGTTAACCAGGGGTGTGAATACCAGAAGTGGGAGATCTTTGGGAACTATCTTGGAGGCTGGTTACCACTATATGCTTTTAAGAATAGCAAACTATAGACAAATGTGTATGATATCCTAATTTTATTATTTTTTTGAAAGGGGGGATTATGTATGTATAAATATAAGAAAAACTGAAAAGTTCACATCAAACTCTTAATGGTATCCAGCTCTGTGTAGTGGGGGTGGGGTGGGATGGAAGTGGGCAATATTGAAGATCGCATGTTCAGTTATTGTTTGTAAAGTTTGTTTTCCTTTTATAAACTATAATGAGCATTGCTACTTTTACAATGAAAAATAATGGAATGAGATCGTATTTCCTTCTCCAGGAAGCCTCTCTGATGCCCCCTGCAGCTGATTTTATTGCCCTCCTGTTTCTGCCTCACCCACACCTGTGAATCCCTGAGGACTAAGATGATGCTCATCTTTGACTCCTCTGTGGCTCACAGACTGCCTGGCCACAAATTACTTGCTCTGTATGTTTGTTGAATGAATGAACTAAAGGTTTTATTTAATGCCATCAATATTTTTTAATTCCAAAAATAATGGATCTTGAGTCTAGACCCTTGATACCCGGAGATCAAATAGCTTTTTGACTTTCAGATCTACATTCTTGCTCAATTAACCTTGCTAATCATAGTATTCTTATTTCTCCTATTTTTTCAGTAGGAGCTTATCTAGTAACTGGTGTGGGAGACGGCATTAATTTTTTGGAAATGAAAGCCCTAATGGAAAAGAATTATATGCAGTAAAGTGGAGAAAATGTATGGTTTTATGCCAATGTAGGTTTCAAATATTTTTCTTTTTTTGGTGAGGAAGATCAGCCCTGAGCTAACATCTGCCAATCCTCCTCTTTTTTTTTTTTTTTTTTGCTGAGGAAGACTGGCTAACATCCACACCCATCTTCCTCTACTTTATATGGGACCCCGCCACAGCATGGCTTGACAAGCTGTGCGTTAATGTGCGCCCAGGATCTGAACCAGCGAATACCCGGCCGCAGCAGCAGAGCGCGCGCACTTAACCGCTTGCGCCAGCCGGCTGACCTCAGGTTTCAAATATTGAAGTAAATACTGTTGCCTAAATGAGAAAGGGAAAACTGAATCAGCCTCAAATCTTGTACCTGCATTAGTGTCATAAATGGAAGCAGTTATAATTGCTGGCAGGAATGAATCATTCCATAGCTAGGTCTGTGCGGACGCTTCTTGATCGTATTCACTTAAGATGGCAGCACCGTTTCATTGCGATGGTCCCCAGAAGCAGAAATCTGTTATTTGCTGATGTCTTTGAAAAGTTAAATTTCTAACTTTTTTATCTGAGTATACTTAGAAGAGTCTCTTATACCACACACACAGACATCATTTGAACTGTGCCTCAGACCTCATTATTTCCTCAAGAAGGAACATCAACACCTGAAAAACAAAGTCCCTGAAATAGCCAATAGTGCACAACCAGAGATTTTAGCAACAAAAACCACGAGTTCCCCAGGGAGCTGGAGCACGGGACTCAGTGTGATGCTTTCCAGTGTTGTTCCTGGAAAGCTGGCACCGTGGGCCAGCTGTGAGGGCTGTGAGGGCTGCGAGGCCCCGGTTACTGGAGCCGCGCTCCCCCACCGCAGCGAGCCCCGCACACCCGCTGCCGGCCCGGCCCCGATGCAAGTTGTTCTGCTGCTGCGGTCAGGATCGCGGCTCAGGCCTCGGGGCTGGAAGTGGCGTGTCCAGCACAGAGGTGAAAACGGGGAGGAGAGAACCGCGAGAGAAATGGGTCGTGTGTTGGGCAGTGTGGGAGGGCGTTTAAAGGGTACGGGCAGGGATGGGGGGGGTGGACACGAGCCGGGAGCCAGCGGTTTCCAGCTTTTTTCCTCGCCCCCAAACCCTGGCCGAGCCATCATGTTTAAGTAGCGCGAAAACTGAACCGTGTCCAGCTCAGCGGCGACCTGGGCTAAGCTTGCCCTGCAGGGGCGACACCCAGATAAAGAGCTGCAGATGTCCTGCGCCCGCAGAAAATAAGCATCTCCCTTTTCTCTTAGCCAGATGGGAAGTGAATGTTCACGAGTCCTGCGGGGCGCGGACTTGCGGGCGGGGAGGCGGGAGGCAGGGGTCGTCCTGCCCGCAAAGCGGCCCCGGCGGCCCCGCGCCGCCCCCACCCTCCCTCCTCCCCGCCACCCCCGCCCCTCCCCCCGTCGCCCTCGGGACCCAGGAGAGACTACTGGCTCCTCGGACTCAGTTTCTGCCCTTCCGCTTTTTTCACACCTTCGGCTTGCGCGGACCGTGCTCCCCGCCCCCGGCTCCGCAGCCCCCCGACCCCTCGGCGCCCCCAGAAGGTCCCCCGGAGCCGCGCGCGCAACCCCGGTGCCCTCCTGGAGGAAGGCAGACGGGGAGCGTGGCCGGGACGGGAAGGGGCAGCCTTCGTGCCCCAGAGCGGGCCTGCGCGGGGTCCTGGGGCCCCAGGCCCCTTCGATGTGGGGGCGCTGGCGCGCGAGCCTCGGGGAGCCCCGCAGCCCCTGGCGCCGACATTTCCCTTCCCTTCCCTGCCCAGCGCCCAGGCCCCGCGGCCGCGCCGGGAGGGACCGTGGGTGGAAGAGCCGCTGAGCTCGGGGGCGGGGGCTGGGGCGCCGTCACTTGTTGGGCTCAGACCCGGAGCTCGGCCGGGAGCGCTGTCGTTCCCAGAGCCCGCCTCGGCTGAGCCCGGGGCACCGAGCCCGCGCCCCCGGCTC